CATGCCTCCAGCAAAGATTCCTCCCAGCTGCGGCGAGTGCTGCCATTCCGCCAGTCTCCTCCCAGTATCGCTGTTGCTTCGCGCCCTGTTTCCTCCTCCCAGCAGCGCAAAGCCAGGCGGTGCAGAGTGGTCTTCCCATGCCGGGGACGAGTGGTGCTCCGGAGATGGCGGGCGCGGCAGGTCCGTCAGATACCTTGCCGACTATGGGTGCTGACCGGTCGTTGACTTGTGTGACTTTCTTGAGTCTTGCTCCTTTGCCAATGTCGGACAGCAGTGCTCCCTGTGACATGTTAGATGTAGCTCTGTGCCGTGCAAACGCCCGTCTGCGGGATTCCGTTTGCTCTTTCGACATGACTGTGACATACTCTGCCTGCTCCCGACGGCGGCTTTCCTCCCGGTGCCTTCATCCCCGGCATTGGCGGCGGTGGTGGTGGCCCTCCAGCGCCTCTTCCCATGGGCGGCATGGGCGGAGGGGGAGGTGGTGCGGGCATGATGTCGAGTGCGCTCTGTTCAGCGATGCGGTGTTCCTTCTCTTCTCATGCGATTTGTTCACAGCTTCTATATTAACCTGCCGCCTGGATGAGTGTCGCGTGCAACGAGTGTCGTGTGCATGAATTGGGCTCGTCCTTGGAACATTCGATGGCAGTCGCCGCCAAGCCCGATGACCTCTCAGCCACCCATGGCTTCGTCACTGCCCGAGCTCCACAGCAGATGCAAACCCCCAGACCGTCGCCATGAAACCCGCCGGCCTGCCAATGCGCCTGCGAGCGCGGCCTGTCTGCCAGCTGTGCGACTTCATCATACAAAAGCCCACGAGTCGCCGCGCGTTTGCGTCCGCATCCGCCCTCAAGGCACCCGCCGTTCGGACGCTACCCGCGCGAAACAATGTCGCAGTACCACGGAACATTACTCGAAGCATCACCACCACGGCCAGGCAGCTGCAGGAGGTGGGGGATGGAGACGTTGGGAGCTTGGCCTTGTCCGACCGGATTGCTGTGCTGAAGGGAAAACTTGCAGTCGTGGAGATTCAGATCCACACCATATACGATTCGCCCACGGTCCCCGGAGAACAGGCGCTACTGGATGTGCTGTTCGAGCTGGAAGACGTGGCGCGGCAAGCAGCAGCGATTCGATCAGGGCAGCCTGCACGAGCAAAGACTCCAATACGGCAGAGTTCAGCAGGCGCAATTTTGTCTGGGCTGAAGGGCGATGAAAAGCCCACACCAACCAAGACGAAAGGCAAGTCGTTCGGACTCGACGCTCTGCCGCGGCCGTCATATCTCTCCAAACTCGCCGAGGACTTTATCAAGCATGGAAACGTCTTCCTCTCGCCAAACTTGCTCGGCCTGTACATTCACCTGCAGCGCATGCTCGGCCACCCACGAACCATACCCGAAGCCCTCTACCTCTACGCCAACAAACCCGTGCCTGTCGAGGGCTCGTCCCCACCAAAATTCACCAAGCCCTCTCCGAAATCCGCAAAGCAAGCCGTGCCTGCGGATCTCGCCGACGACGCCCTGACAGCCGCCATCGAGGCGAAAGACATCACCCTCGCCCTCGCCGTCGTCGAGCACACATACTGCGCCCCCGCATGGCTGCGACACCGCCGGATCACCAAGCTGGGCTTCCCCACCGTAATCATGGCCCTCACCCCTTTCGCCATCAATATGATATCGTCCGAACTTTCCGTCTACAGCAACTTCATTGACCCGTGGACCTTTAAGCTATACTGCTTCATGGGCATAAGTACATATGTCTTGTGCACCGGCACGCTTGGCTTCGTCGCGTTGACCACCCACAACGACCACCACGACAGAGTGGTGTGGCGACCTGGTATCCCGCTGCTCGATCGGTACATAAAGGAGGATGAGCGTGCTGCGCTGGACAGGATTGCGTGTGCGTGGGGTTTCAAGGAGGATTGGAGGAGAGGCGATGAGGAGGGTGATGATTGGGAGGGTCTCAGGCAGTGGATTCTTCTAAGAGGTATGATCTTGGACAAGCCGGACTTGATGCCGGGCATGAATCCGAATAGGTAGATGTACAGTATTATACTATCGTGGCCGTCACGACGCTTTTCACCCACTTGACCTACAGAAATACCATGGTTGATTCCAATTTGTGATGACGTACATATCGATGCAGTTGGACGATGAAGAAATCAAGCGAGATACTCCATGCCCGAATGATAGAATGAAAAGGAGCACAGCTATGTCTCGCCTTCGGAGTGTGATGTAACGCGACCTCTGATGCATCCTGAGTAGTAGAGCGAACGCACATCGACGAACTTTCACATGCCTTCCTTGAACTCACCACCACGCAATCCTCGCCTCATCAGAAAACCAACACGATATGCATACACGAAACGATCAAGTTCACCCAATCTAGCAAACACACCTCCAAAAAGAATCGTGCAGGCCACCTGCCCAGTAAAAAGATGGTTCTGTTGCGACACCTGTGTGATTCGAACACACGCTCCCGAAGGAACTGGCTAACTTCCACTCATACGAGCGACATAGCAGGCCAGCGCGTTAACCTTGATTGACTGTTAGATAACAGGACTTCAGAATAGAGTAGCAAGGTAGACTAACCACTCCGCCAAAGTGCCAATTGGATGTTGTTGTTGAGAATTCCAAATTTTCTGAATATATATACACACAATGTAATCCTGCAGAGAAGATGAAGAGAAAAAGATGTTGATAGGAGCTTGGAAGAATTTTGGATGTTGGTCCCACACGGATGAGGGGTCGGCGCTTGCAAATGAGCCCACGTCCTTGCCATACCAAACGTGGTCACAGCGCAGAATACGCTCATATAATGTAACTCCACGTTCTGAACTTCACTCCATCCCGGCCCAGCACGCATTCATGCTTCATCTGCACATCATGTCTTTCAATTTTGCATCATAACTCCTACAAGGCGATCGTAATAATTTCTTTTCTCTACAGTAGGTTACCTTCGGTATTTTCCACAGCGTCACCTCGTATCACGGAAAGAGAAGGAGAGAAGCTCTTCATCACTTCCTTCGATGTGAAGGGCTTCTTTGAGATTCAACTTGCCATCTGACCTCCATATATATACTCTTTCACATATGCCTTGTTCCTTTCATCCTCTATCAGC